ACGCAGTGCTGAGAGGGAAACACCTCGCCCCCAGGAGGTGACCCAAAGGTATTAGGCCAGAGCCACGCTGCACATCGTCGGCACACCTCAGCAGTCGTCGAGGGCGACAGGAGGGGAGGAGAGGAGGCGCAGCCGATAGCCGCAGAACATTTGAATACATGGAGCGGAGGAGCCAGGTGGTAACGCCGCCAATCGAGGACCCAACACGTGAAGTCGGTATGTCGTTGGCGAGTGGCGCCGTCTCGCGGGGGGGAACGTCACATGGGCAAGGCCGTCGGACGTCGGGGGCGTGGAGCGCAGGGGGGGGCCTTCGGCCTGCCGCCCCAGCCATCCAAAGTGAGCGCCCCTGCGGGCGACACGGGCACGCGTCCCCGTGAACAAAGCCAAAGTGAGCCGTGGGCAAGGTTATTGCAGCCAGACCGCACGGGCCAAGAGCCCACGAAGTACCGTGGGGGACTAAGCGCAAAGAGAGCGTGCACCTCACTCCCAGGAGGTAGCACGGGCATTAAGGCCGGGGCCTGTCACTGCGGTGAAACGAGTCCCCTTCGTGAAGGGACTGCCCACGGCCGACGCGGCCCGGGGGGGTCATCCGCCCGCGACGTCTTCTCCTCACCCGATGCTTGCCTGTGGGCAGCCAAGGGACTTACGAAGGCCATGGTGGCTATTGCCAGTGTGGAGCGAGTCTTGAGAACGTCACGTCGTCGGCTAGTCACCACAGTCGTCGAAGGCGCGAGGAGGGAAGGGGGGGGGGCGCAGCCGATAGCCGCATATCATTTGAATACAAGGGGGAGGAGGAGCCAGATGCTGACACCGTCTGTCGAGGACCCAACGCGCGCAGTCGGTATACTGAATTCTGAGCAACTCGCTTTTACTGGCTATCGATTTCTCGGGATGGGCAGAGGCAAACCGCGCGATTCTTCGCGCGTCCACCGCTGGCGCCGCAGAGCGCTCGACAACTCTGGTCAACCATCGTGGCCAGCTCAGCTGAAAGTGGAGCGCCTGGGTCGGGCGGGGAAACAAGGCACCGCAGAAGTCCCCGGCGCAAGCCCCAGTCTGTCTGACTCAGGCCTGACATCTCGAACCCAAAACTGCTGGCCGGGGCAGCTCCTGCCGAGCAATGTTAGGACAACGCGGCTTCCCCCGTGCCTTTTGCCGCTTCTGATAAACAACTGCCCTCCTCAATCGAGCCACCATTCCCTCGGGCCTTTTCTTGTCTTTGGCGCGAACTCCTCTCCTCGGCCGCGTCGCTCCTGCCGCCTCGTCGACCCCCGGGCGCGACGCGCTCTGCTTTGCAACCGCCCCGGGGAAAACCAACCTCGTCGCGCGCCTCGAAGGCAAACTTTCTGCCGCGACGCCAAGTCGGGGGTCTGCTGATCGGCGGCGAGCGAGGGGGGGAAGTGAGAGGGGGTGGGCCTTCTCAGAAGGCTCGGAAGTCCCCGGGCCTTATGAGAGGCTTTCCAAGCCTTCCCCGAAGCTGGAAAAAAACGTCTCAGAAGGCGCGAGGGCGTCTGAGAAGTCCGACTGCCTTCTGAGAAAGCCGCCCCCTTCTCACTTCCCCCCTCGCTCGCCGCCGACAATCGGACCCAGGTCAGCAAGAAACCAAAAAAGTGCAACGCAGGAAAAACTGCCGCGCAGGTCTTCGCAAATCCAAGCCAGCCAACATGCGCGGCCGCCTCGCGGCCACGAGCGGCTCGCTAAACCGGATCAGCCAGGGGGGGTCTTCGCAGAATCCTGCGGGGCCCCCAGTGCCCTGGCTGACCCCCGTTTGCACTGACTCCGTCTCTTTAGCCCCGACCAACGCTACTGCCGCATCGACAGTCATGCCGGCATTGAGCTTGTCAGATGTGCGTCTGCACTCTCTCGCCGCATGAGCTGCCGCGCTCTTCGCGATCGCGCGGTCCGATGCAGGGTCGCCGATGGCCGCGGCGTCGACGTAGCTCTGGAAATCGACCGTCGGGCACCTCGTCGCGAACTCATTGAACTCGATTGCAGCGTGGACCTCGGCGGCCAGTTCATTGTAGCCACGTGCCGCGGGCAACCCGCTTTGCGCTTGCAGTGCATGCGCGGGATGATTAGCCGCATGGCCCATGGCCCGCGCCGAATGTTGGAGGCAAGTTTGATCCAACATATCGGCGCACCTGAGCGCGCGAACTTCAGTTTGGGCTCCTGCAGGGGGCGGGGGCCCCCCGCGTTTGGCCCGGCCCGCTGCCCGCGGCGCGTGATGGCGATCCTCGGCCCGACCACTTTCGGCGCGAGCAACTGGAAGCCGCGCGCAGTCCAGAGCCGACCTGCCCGCGGCTGCGCGCCGGCGTCTGCGCTCCAGCTGCTCGCGCCGACCTCTCCCCATCCATCTCCGACCGCGTTGCCGTGTCCGACGCGTGCCAGCATGCAATATGATTAATCGATTTCCATCTAGAAAATTTGCTCAATATTGGCACCCACCCCCAACGCACGCCCGCCTCGGCGGAGGATTAAGTCCAACAACTCCGGCCCCCTTGGGCTCCATTCCCGTGTTTGCCGCACTGTACTCGGCCGCTGTCACTGCGAACTTGGCCCGCACCTTCGAAAGAACAGCCCATGCCGCCGTCGCCCCGCTCTGCTCATGTGTAGCCATGTCTAGGCAGGCCCGAGCTACTACACGACCAGGCGTAGCAGGAGCTTCCCTCCACTGGCGCTGACGGCGGCGTCGGTGTCACCGCGATAGGTCGGACGCTGCTACCGGTCGACAAATGTCAACGCGACTGGCCCGCGGGGTCAGCGCGCCCATTACATGTCAGCCTCAGCCGCGCGACATCCTCAAATCGCAGCATCATTCAGAGCGAAAGTAATCGATCTTATTAGAGCCTGTGGCCATGGTCACTTTGGCCAGCCTCGGAAAGCCTGATTGCTCCAACGCACGCACGCCCATGTTCCAGCCAGCTCCGCACCACAAGGTCGTCAGATGCCAGTGATGCACCTTCCCCTTTCTGCGAGCATCGCAGCATTGATACCCGTTGGGCCTATGCCACCCGCGAGGTACGCACTCAAGATGTGGAAAAGCGGCCATTCACGAACATGTTGCACAACATGCTGGAGTCTGCATGGGGATGCAATTTACCACGTTCTGGCTCACATAGCCCCAAATCGTTTCTGGCGAACACAACATCCCCCGCAAACGGCTGCACAATAGTTGCTTGATCCGGAAGTGCCACGAACTTCCAACCGCGATTTGCCGCCCAGACATAGAACACCTCAATGTTCATCTCATGGTATCCACTTTTGTAGCGCGCAATCATATGTGCATTGGAACGCTGAACTCGATGTGTGATCGTATTGTGGCATCCGCTAGATCTGAACAGCTCGATCGTGTATATAAAATGTTTCAGAGTGGAATGCTTCACCTTCTTCGGCCAACCCCAGTGCAGCTCCAAACCAGACACTCGAACGTTGACATAGCCTGAAACGCCAGACGGAAGCCAACTGAGCCCACCCACCTTTTGGGATTGCGCATGTGGACCACCTCGTACACCATCAATTTACAATAATGATAAGAACACACAACAACAAAAACTGTTTCGTGCGCGTTCTCTGCTGCCCCGTCAAGCCGATCCTCGCTGCCCGAGATCCACAGGATTTGCATCTCAGCTTTCTGAGGGGGTAGTGAGTCGAGCAACTGAAACAAGACACACCGCAAACCACCAAACGTTGGAAACACTTGCTGTGGAACGCCCCATACATCTTCACAACTCAACACGTCACGAGAAGAAACACTTGTTTCGTACGTATGTTTCCCTCCTCTTCCAACCGATTCTCCCGGATGCCATAGGATTCGAGTCTCACCTATCTTTGAAGGTGGTGAGACCAGGAACTGGGACGACGCACTCCGCAGCAACCCAACCGACTTCGGAAATACCTGCTGTGGACCGCCTCGGACATCGTCACAGCTCAACACGCCAAGATAAAGAAGACCTGCTTCGCGCGTGCTCTCTTTCTCGGCCTTTTCCTGTCGATTCGTTCCTTCCGTGTTCCACAACTTTTGATGATCATATTTCCCGGGAAGCAGTGGATCTTACAACTTAGATGACATACTCCGTAGCTGCCCACCCACCTTCGGAAGTAACTGCTGTGGATCACCTAGTACATCATCACAACCCAAACGGTCACGCAAAATGACACATGTTTCACGCGTGTTCCCTGTCGCCGTCTCCAACCGATTATTCTCCCTCGAGTTCCACACGGGTTGAATATCAGCTTCCTTGGAAAGCATCAAGTATAGCAACTGAGACAGAGTATCCAACAATTCACCCACCAATCATCTGCTCATTGAGCCGTGCTTGTTTGTGGCCATTCAGCGTGTGTGTGCGTCTGAGTGCGAGCCATTCTCGATATGATACGTCAAAGCACGAATGATTCTGGGCGCGAGTGAGCCCGAAAGGATCTGACTGCGAGCGCGCCTGAGTATGAGAAGGACAAGGAGGATGAGGAAGAGGAGGAGGAGGAGGAAGCGGAGGAGGAGGAGGAGGAGGAGGAGGAGGAGGAGGAGGAGGAGGAGGAGAGAGAGAGCGCGACACTAATAATACGACATGCCTCTTTTATACTTAGGATTTGTAGAAAATCAAAACATCGGAGGTCTTGACACTGGCCCCACGCTTAACCCCAAACCAGTCGAGCGCCACTCTGCCATCGATTCCCGCCAACCCGAGGAGTGTCCTGGCCTAGCTCCGACTCTGAGGCCCACGTGCTGACATCAGATTGCATCCCTTGCCGTTTCCCCCTCCCCCCCCCCGGCCGCCGCCGCAGCCGCCGCCGCCACCGCGGCCGCCGCCGCCATCGCCGCCGCCGCCTTCGTCGTCGTCGTCGTCGTCGTCGTCGCTGTCGTCGTCGTCGTCGTCGTCGTCGTCGTCGTCGTCTTCGTCGCCCTCGTCGTGGTCGTCGTCGTCGTCGTCGTCGTTGTCGTCGTCGTCGTGGTCGTCGTCGTCGTCGTCGTCGTCGTCGTCGTCGTCGTCGTCCGTCCGGGGAGCCGGGAAATACTGCTTCGGCTCCACGCCCTCGGGCACCCGGGTGCGGATCCAGTGGCGCGCGACATTGGGGGGCAGCTTCTCGCCCGGGGCGACGACGGGGCGGAAGACGAGGAGGTCCCCAGCCTCGCGGAAGGCCGGCATCCACCATCCTCCCAATCCCCTACCAGGCTCCCCTCCCCCCCTTCGCAACTACACATTACGAGAGCCACTGCCTTTTCTCCCCCGACAGCGGCCCACCCTTCACCTTCACCCTCCCCTCCCGCGCGCAATCGATGTCCACACGCTGGCCGTCATCGGCGTGTCTTTCCTATCCGCTCTGTTCCATCGGAACGTCGCCGGCTGCTCCTGCCCCTGCAGATGCTGCGTGTGTTCCTCCCTCCTCGTTATCCTCCTATTCCCCCTCCTCCTCGTGCTCCTCGTGCTCCTCGTGCTCCTCGTCCTCGTCCTCCTCCTCCTCCTCCTCCTCCTCCTCCTCCTCCTGCGCACAGGTTTGGCTCTGCAGGCGGGGCCTTTACTCGGCCCGTGGCAGAGCCCCAGACGCCGCGGGCCCGACGGCGCGGGCCGCGGTGCGCGCGATAGCGGCTGGTGGCGAAGCGCGGCGCGGCCGCTCCCGCTCGCCTGCCTTCCACGGGAGAGCGCAGCGCGCGCGGGCCTCGGCGCGCTCGCTGCCGCGGCTGGAATCGGCGAAGCGCCTCCGCGCGGGCCACCACGGCGAGGCTCAGCAGAGCGTCGCCATGGGCCCGCCACGCGCCCACAGCGGCTCGGCCTCAGCCCCAGCCCAGGCCATGGACGGCTACGTCAAGCGCGGCAGCTGCGGGCACGGCTGGAACTTCCGCAGCCGGGCACAGTGCTATGAGCGCGGAGGGCAGCTCGGCGCAGGCAAAGCCCGAGGCGCAGGCCCTGGTGGCAGAGGCCGAGGCGGCGGCGGCAAGGGCGGCAAGGGCCAAGGCGGCGGCGATAGCCCAGCGAGCTTCCTCTTTTCAGCTCCGCCCGCGCATAACCCCGGCGGATCGGGGTCGGAGGCTCTTCCGGGCTGGCCCTTTCAGGCAGCCCTCACTCTCCTCCTCCGCCTCCTCCTCCTCCTGATCCTAACGGCGACGCAGACGATGGTTCTGAGGAGGCGGAAGAAGGTGAGCCCTTTCTCGTCCTGGCCCTGTGCCGAGCTCACGGCCCGTCATCTCGCCGTGGCCGCTGCCCCCCCGCGGTGGGAGGGGCGACGCACCAACCGCTATGCTGCCAGAATCCCCCCGCCACCGTGCTTTGGCGTGGGTGGGTGGGACCCCGAAAAAAAAAGTTTCCAAGGCTCCCAAAGAGTCTTGAGCGAAATGGCAGCGGACCAGGAAAAAAGGCAAAAGAGGACAAGGAGGGCAGAGGACGGGGCTACGCCATTCAGAGGAACCCCCTGTTCTCACGAACGTCCACGTTTCCTCTTTTCAGCTCCGCCCTCGCAAACGCCCGGCGGATCGGGGTCGGAGGTGCCCTCCAGGGCTGACCCCTCAGGCCGCCGTCGCCCTCCTCCTCCTTCTCCTCCTCCTCCCCCTCCTCCTCCTCCTCCTCCTCCTCCTCCTCCTCCTCCTCATCATCATCATCATCATCATCATCATCATCATCATCATCATCATCATCATCCTGATGGCGACGCAGACGATAGCACTGGAGAGGCGGCGGGGGGTGAGCCCTCTCTCCTCCTGGCCAGGTGGCGCTCGGCAGGTCTGGCCTGCCCGTTTGCGAGCTCACGGCCCGGCGTCTCGCCGTGGCCGCTGCCCCCCCGCCTCCCGCCCTCGAGCTCCCCTGGAGCCCCCGCCGCACGGCGCAGGCCGCGGGGCCCCCGTCAAGGACCCCCGCCTGCACTGGAGGGGGGCCCCGGCCCTGCCACTTCCCAGCTCTCCAGGCCACCTCAGGCGCCCACGCGCCTCGAAACCGTCGCTGGCGCCCGCCGCCCTGGACATGCTGGCAGCCGCGCTTCCGCGCAACCCGGCTCGCACTGCTGCTGCCGGCTTCGAGCCGCCGCCACCACGAAACATCGATTTCCACACGCACACACACACACACACTCTCTCTCACACACACAAACGTCGATCCCCGCGAAAATCGGATGAAATAGTAGCACTGGAGCTGGCTGTCTTTAGGGCGGGGTTTTGGAGCTCAACTGACTCACTCGGTTTTTGCATCATCGTCATCATCATCGTCATCATCGTCGTCATGATCCTCATCATCGTCCGCGTCATCGCCATCACCATCACCATCTCCTCATCATCGTCGTCATCATAATATCCATCATCATCTCCTCGTCATCGTCATCATCATGTGGTGATGATGATTACATGATGACGTTGATAATGATGATGATGATGATGACGATGATGCTGATGAAGCCGATGATTGCGATGATGATGGCGATGATGATGATGACGATGCTGACGATGATGAGGATGACGATAACCTTTTTTCGGGCTGCGCGGGCCGCGCGGAGATTCGGATACTGTTGCAGTCTAATCGGAATCGGAAAGCACCTGAGCCTCCGTGGAAGCGGGCCACCGCATTTCGTCAAGCACCTCCGTGAGGTCGGGCAGCGCCACGGGGACCCGTGCCAGGTGATCGGCCACGACGTGGCTCACGACGGTGAAGAACTCCTTCGGGCCAGGCGTGGAGTCGATCCTGCGCGCCCTGCACTCCCGAAAGACGTCGGAGCGGATCATCACGGCGATCTGCAGCCTGCGGTCTTCTACGCGCTGTTGCAGCTCGTGGCGGGTCGCGAAACAGTCCTGGCAGGCCGCGGGGGCGCGGCGGCGCACGTTGTGCTCGAGGGAGGAAAGGGCGCCCATGTAGAAGGACCCAGGCTTTTGCTCGAGGGTGACGAAACTTCCGCAGGAGGCTGTGCTCGAGGGTGACGCCCCATGTGCTCCCAGGACCCCTGGGATCCTCACTTGCACGGAGCGCGCCCCGAAAAGCGCCACGGCCGCGTGCAACAGGGAGCATCCGCCATCTGCGTGCCAACCATCGCCCCGTGCGCCTGGTCGCATGAGCTGGATCGATGCGTACGCGAACGCGTTGTCGGCGAAGTGCTCTGTCATGATGGGCTGTCGGTTCTGCTCGGCGATGGCATCTGGCATGCCGTCGGCTATGACTGCCTCGCGCATTTTGTCTCCCAGCTGTTGCAGCCGCGGGCGCATCTTCTTCCGCGCCGCTCGCACGACGGCGGCGAGGTGGGCCGAGGGGATGACCTCAATTTCGTGCCCTTGTTGAGGCTGCGGCACTTCGGGAGGCTTTCGTCGCCCACGATGCCTGGGACTTCTGTTTTGAAGCCCTTCGCCGCCTCGTCGCCTCGGACGCATTTGGGGACGGTTGCCCCCGTGCCCAGGCGCTCCTTTGGCCAAGTTGCGCAACAGTTGTGCCAGCACGGGTCTCTCTGCAAGAAGCGGAGCAAGTCTGGGTCCAGCTCCGCCTCCGCCATCGTGCCCGTGCTGTTTTTTTCCCTACGCCATGGAGATGCGCACGTCGAGCTGGGCGCCAGCCAGCTGCAGGAAGCGACGCGCCCGTAGACGGCTGATTGTCGCTCTGGCGCCAGGGTGCCAAAGCAGGCAGCTCTCGGCGGCCTTCAACAAGTCTGGGGGGCAGCCTGCAAGTTCGGCAACGGGCCAGCGTCCTCGGCCGTCGAGTGGCTTCGCTGTTTCAGCCTTTAGCCAATCCTCGCCCGACCGCTTGAACCACTTCTTAAAGAAAGGCAGGTTGTCCAGCCACGGGGCGGGATCCTCGCAACCGTAGTCTCCGGACCCTGGCTCCTCGCCTGGGATCCCCAAGACCTCCCTGGAGGTATCCGCGAAGTCTTTCGGGCGCGCCCATTGCTGCCCGATCGCGCCAAAAGGCTCTGGTTGGAACAACACCTGGCGCGTGTGTAACTCCGCGATCAGGCACCCGATGGACCAGATGTCCAGGTCCTCTGAGTAGCGCTGGTTCCCCAAGAAAACGTCTACCGCCCTGTAAGCGGGCGCGCATACTCCGAGGTCGTCGCAGGTCGGGCTGTAGCGCAGTTTCTTCTTCAACCTGTCGTGGGAATCCGCCATCTCCACACAGCCGAGGTCGCCGATCACCACCTGCGGAGAGGGGCGGATGGAGGAGAGGGGAGCGACGGCGACTGAGCTCCCCCTGGAGGGAAAGGCGGGATAGAGGGCACGACGACGGCATCTCGGGGGAATTGTGGAACCTCCCTTGTTAGAACTCGGTGTGAGACCGAACATGAAGGCTAGTGAGGCGCAACATGATAGGCTGAGCTCTGACCTCGTATATTAGGGCCCCGTCGGAGCTCTAACATGCTATGTTAGAGCTCCATGGGAGCTCTAACGCGCTGTGTTAGAGCTCCATCGGAGCTCTCACATGCCATGTTAGAGCTCCCTGGGAGATCCAACATGCTAGGTTAGAGCTCCCTTGGGAGCTCTAACATGCTATGTTAGAGCTCCATGGGAGCTCTCACATAGCAGGTTCGAGCTCCCTGGGAGCTCGAGCATGGCAGGCTACAGCTCCCAAGTAGCTCGAGCATGACTCGAGCATGGCATGTTAGAGCTCCCGGGGAGCTCTAACATAGCATGTTAGAGCTCCCTGGGAGCTCTAACATGGTATAACGTGCCAGGTTCGAGCTCCCAGGGGGCTCTAACATGGTATGCTAGAGCTCCCTGAGAGCTCTAACATGCCATGTTAGAGCTCCCTGGGAGCTCTAACATGCTATGTATGAGCTCCATGTGAGCCCTAATCATCATCATCATCATCATCATCATCATCATCGTCGTCGTCAGCATCATCATCATCATCATCGTCATCGTCATCATCATCGTCGTCGTCATCATCATCATCAGCATCGTCATCATCGTCATCATCGTCATCGTCATCATCACCGTCATCATCGTAATCAGCATCCCCCCATGGCCCATGGCCCTCCTCCTGCTCACCCTTTTTCCTGCTATCCTGCTCCTCCTGCTCCTCATCCTCCTCCTTCTCCTCCCCCTCGCGCCCCCCCCCCCCCCCCCCACGCACACACACGCGCACGCGCACCCACCCACCCACCCCACCCCGCCCCACCCCGCCCCCTCCCCTGGACCTGGACGGGGCGCCCCGCGGGTAGTTAGAGA